TCAGGTACTCTTGCTATAACCTTACCAAAACCTGCCACTTGTCATATCAAAAGTCGCCACAGTCCATAGTGAATTTTATAGTGAAAGTTGTCACACTTATGGGGCACAGTGAGAGCTCTCAATAGAGCTTCATGTGCTCCTAACTGATCTAATGCTGTGTAGGTATAGTCATTTTTCAGCAACATTCAACCACTCAAACAACTAGAGTCATAAACAACTTGTAGAAGTAGGGTAGAGTCCGCATCTATCCTCTTCAGTACATATGTTGAGAATGGCACAAGTAATTAAACATTATTCTCTGCACAAAAGACACTGCGGTAAAGGAGAGTTAATGTGGGTAGAGGCACATCTTGCGTTCACAGCGGCATATTTTGCACTCACAGCATGTTTCACACTCGCAGATGCAGTGTGTTTCCCATTCTGTTTGATTGGGTTTGAACTTTTCTCTCAGGAGATTGCTTATACTAAAGTATATTGAGATGAGCTGCATTCTATGCCATCTTGAGTTGGGTTATTACTGTATAACACCTAAAGATGATGTCATCCTTTGTTGTAGCTGTCAACTGGGCTAAACGGCACAAATGGTGAAGTGGCCAGAATGGCATTCAAATATGCAAGCTTGGTTTGATCGCCACATGAGGTGGCTAACGCAACCAACAATTGGGTTTCTGGGTTTGTCTATGACTAATAACATGTCTCCAGCATCTCTACACGCTCAGGTAAACACAGTAACCATGGCAATACCCCCAGGGTAGATGTTCTCCTCCTCCCCTAGACATGGCACCACTACCAAGGCCACGATCATTGTTTTTGTGTCCGGCGTGCTCCCCATCACTTAGCATTAACATAGGACTACCCATGACAGCAAAACCCAAGAAAATCGAACCACTATATCCCCAGTTCTGGCCTGTCCACCCCCTTTTACCTCAATAGAGCAATATCTTGCTGACCATTTACACTATAACTTCGGAACGAATGGACTGATTCATTCTAAAATTATTTTGTACCCTCTTATACATTTATCAATGTTTCTCAAATAGTCAGAACACTCAAAATTGGCCTCCTTCATGTTGTCTAAATTGGGCCACAATTCATGTTTTATACGTCAATTCCATCGAAATGACACCCAGCAATGTGATCTGTTTGTCCTAATTCACAATACTCACAAAGTTACCGAAATACCCTCAGATCACCCTGTTTCCCCTACTGATCTACTCTTAGGTATCTAGTACCCCCACCCTAGCATCTTTACTATTATTCTACCATTTTCCCCTATTTTTATCGGCCATCGTTCCATCCCTATTCACCCTGTGATTATCCCTGCCCATATTCCCCATTTTATCCATGTATAACCCAGCCTGTTTCACTATATACACCCTACCTACCTGCCGTACTACTCTACCACATCGGCCCTGCATTTGCGTATCCTCGTAATGGCTGAAATGATTTCCTCTATGTCACCATCTGCTCTACTATCATCCCTTGTACCAGCCATCCTTGCTTTGGTCTTTGTGTTCGTCCTCGCCATCTTCTTCCCTGAATTTACTTTCCTCATCTTCGAGGCCGCTGGAGTCCTTATCTCGCAAATATCCTCCCCCTTAGCTTTTGTACTGTTATAGTTTATTATATATAACTGAGCATTTACTGAGCATCCTCTGAGGCTCTTGCACATTCCGTACAGGCAGGCATTATTGTGCAGCTTTCTTTACCATTCTCTGATTCACCCCGTCAACCTTACTTCGCTTCTGTCTTTGCCAACATCACTCACCTGGGATGTTTCGCTTATGACGATTTGCATGCTGTGGGTAGCGCTTTCCCTGTCCGGAACACTCTACATATAGATGAACTTGCGCTGTGATTTGACATGCTCCAGAGAGAGCACAGTGAATTCACCCTCTAAGCAATGAACTAAAACCATGAGATGAGAGTAAAAATGGAAAACAAACGAAAACTATATACAAATAAGA